GACTACGGTGGGTAAACGACCCGACGACAGTCGAAGTAGCCTTTATGGCTAAGGCCGTCGATTCTATCACGACTAAAGTCGTCGATCTAAATTCGACTAGGGCCGCCAACGCCGACGGTCAACAAAAAGCGCAACAAAAACTCTAAAGAACGAAAGAAAAACAGTGACACAAAACAAGCACAAGGCAGGCAATGGAAAAGAAAATTTATATATTTACAGAGTCAATTGCGGGTCATCCCCGCTTACACCCGGCCAAGGCCGATCAATACAAGAAATTAAAAAAAAAACAAAAAAAAAAACAAGAAACACCTAAACACCAAACGGCGAACAAGACAAGAAAAAATGCATAAACATCTTTTTACTCGGCGCCGTCTGCGCCACCGTCTGCACCAGCGTCAGCCTCTGGCGTCGCCGCGTCAAAACCACAGTCGGCACGTGCCTCACGAGCCTTCTGACGCGCCCCCTCGAAAGCAGCTTCGGTCACGACGCCAGCCTCCCACAAACTCTTATATACATCACGTTGGGCCTCGGCAAAGACCCAAAGTTCTCGAGCCTGGCTGGAAGAAGCGGCTTGATCCCGTAGCCGCTGATTCTCTTCTTCTAAGGCTGTGATCCGGTCCGCCATGACCTGGGCGTCCTGCTCAAAGACACCAATCCGCTCCTCGAGACTCGCTTCTCTAAAGGCCGCAGCATCCCTTTCCAATGCCCGTTGGGATTCGTGCACGCGGATAGCTTCCTTCAACGCCCCGGCCCTCGACGAAGCATCCCTCACTTGAAGCTTCAATGCCGCGACTTCACCCTCCAACGCGGTCACTTTCCCGCTCCATGCCGCAGCGGCCTCCGCCGCCTTGGCCTTGCCCCGGCGCTCGCACTCAGCCGCGACCCTCTTTACCGCCTCGAGCTCCTCATCCTTCCGGCGGAGCTGCTCCTCGAGAGCACTCGTCCTGCCAAGTATTTGCTGCATCTGAAGCTCCCGCCTCGCCAGTTCTTCGACCAAGGCCCGGCTACGAGGATCATTCTTCAAGCGCACGCGCAACTCTCGGCACTGATCTCGGTAGCGGCGATACTTCTCCAGCGCTCGCAAAAATATCCCCGAGTGGACCTTGGCTCGACGGATGCTCTCCACCTCCAACAGATAAGACTGCAAAGCAAAGACAACGATTAGAATAAAAGAATAAACTTAAGGCAAAGAAGAAGCGAACCGACGTAATAGTACATACCCTCAAGCCCATCACGACTACTTCATTCATCAGTCCGACATCCGTAATGCCCCTCACCGATGCATTCTCGGCCTCTGAGCATAGCAGCTCGAACTGCGGCACCAAGCTTTCCCCTTGGAGCAATAAGTTCAATTCCGTGGGAACCTCGATGAAGCGAGATCGCCCCCTGCGCGCACCGCTGAATTGGTGGAGCCTTCCTGGAACATACGGACGTCGTCAGGATCCAAGTCGGATTCAGACTCATCCTCACCCCCTACAACATCTCTTCCCCCTTCAGCTGCCGGCGAAGTGGAACCTCCCGCCGCAGCCGCCGAAGGAGCGCTTGCCCCACCCACATTAGCAGCCGCTGAGGAACTACCTCCCGTCTCAGCGACTGGAACCACCAATTGAATCGCGGAAGCGACGGTATCATCACGACCTGAGCCAACCGGGGCAACCCCCATTGTTTGTCCGCCCTCAAGGGCAGGCGCCGCAGCCGCACTCCTCTCCGCGTCCGCCGGGTGGGAGTCCAAATTAATTACCATAGGAGGAGCCGGCGTGAATGCAACCCTACGCCTTATCAACGGCCTCTCCTCCTCCCCATCTGATGACGACTCCGCCCTAGGGCGCACAACCCCCGATGGCCCCTCGTCCCGAAGCGCGGACCGTGCTGGAGAGGGAACCACTGAAGATTCAACTGATGCCGCCCTCGGTATTGAGCGCGACACAGGCGCCGCAGTAAGACGAGCGACTGCACCCGGTCGACGAAAGGCTAACTGAGGGGCCCTGACGCGGCGTGCCCTCCCTGATCACAGGAAAACAAAATTGATGAATAAAGTTGAAACAAAGCGGAACAGAAGAAGAAATCAATTTTTTACCTGCCACAGGCCTACGGCCATGCCTCTCCCAGAAACACGCCCATGTGCGTATCCCCACCGTATGGGGGAGTACGGCCTCGACCCACTCACGTATCCAAGACAATGGGGCCGGCGGTGACCTGTCGGCTACAAAAACAGCACGAGTTAATGCTGGTGATCACAAATCATAAAGAGGGGAAGAAAAGGGAACTCAACCACTAAAGAACTTACGCGCATGGTTCCAAGCCTCTGGGAACCCTGTAGCATCCGCCACCAGATGCTTGGTCCTGATATAAAAGAAGTGCTCGAAAGGGCGAGGGTCGACCTCGTCATCCAATCTCATGACCAGGCCCCTCGACCCACGAGGGCACGCCTGAATCATGGTGCCACAGACTCTCTGGGGAGCGTAGAGACTCAGCACTTGCTGCAACGTGACCTCCCTACGGGCCAATTCCGCGTACTTGATGAACATTGCCAACAATTTGTAGAGGGAAGGAGTGAGCTGACCCGGGCACACCCCGTAATAACGGCAGAAATCCACCACCAGCATTGAGAGTGGGATCTTGAACCCCAACCTGAAAGGATAGGCGTAAAAAACGCAGTATCCCCTGCGATCGGTGTGGACCCTCTCCTCGCTTCTAGCAAGAATGATGTCTGCATAGGTGGGAATGACCCCCTGTTCCCGTAATCGGGCCATCCCAATCTCCCCCATAATGGGGCTTCATCCACCGGTTCCACTCCACCGTCGACAGTGAAATCAATCGCCAGGCCTCAGGACCGAGGAACTACCTCGTCAACCGACGGAACTTCTCCGGTCTCTATCTGTTCTGCACCTCCCATTGCCGGAGGTGGCCCTTCAACTACCGGAAAGTCTATCGGAAGAGCATCGTGGGAAGAACTGCCTGTCATTATTGATCTACTAAAGACAAAGGCTATCACAATCAAAGGAAAGAAAGGAGAAGATGAATTTGCGGAACGAAAAAGTTTCCTCAGAATCTCTCTCAGATGAACAATGAAGATATGAGAAATGAATGCCTCAACCCACCTTTATAGGCAACATAAATGGCTTTCGCGAAACCCAATAGCCATCATTAACTGCACGACCAACCGTAAAATGGTTCGGTTCTGCCGAAGCAAGCGTCATTATGACAAGCTCCGCAAAGCGACTTCTCAGCCATCCGCCAACGTACCGCCGTCAGAATAATCGCTACGGCCTGCGAACGTTGAAAGAATGTTCCGTACGCCTTCAAAATTCTGAACGTGACCAAATACGTACCCGGCGCGTACTCATTCCCTACGGCCATCTCCAATATATGAAACGGCTACGGCCATCCCCAATATATGAAAGGCTACGGCCATCTCCAATATATGAAAGGCTACGGTCATCTCCAACGTGTAAACGGCTAAGGCCGCCACCGAGCGCGTATCAAGCGTGCCCTCATTCTCCTCGGCCGCACAACATACGACCCGTCCGCCACGGCCGACGGGTATGCTTCCAAAACAAACGTAGGGATCAGAGCACAATGCAGCTCGACCTCACCCTAAGTAAGTTAAAAGGGTGCCTTCGCTCATGAGGAGAGTTCGACCTCGATCGAACGATGACTTGATAGCCCAATAACAGGATACTAATACTCTACAAGGCTAAGGGCCATCGCCAAAAGAATTCGGCTTCGACCGAAGCAACAGTCGACATCTCCATCCGTGTTTCTCGAAATATAGCCAATGGAATCCGCTCATCGAGCTCGGCCAAGGCCCGACCTCAATAAGCGGAGGGACTAACTGTATGGGTCAGAATTCGACCCCACGATAATTAACGGGCTAATCCCGTTTTAAGTTAATTCATGATTAATTAATGGCACGACCACTCAGAATTGACGATGTTCAACCCGCATCTGGTTCAATCACAAGGCCATGCCCTATCCGCCACCATAAAGGCGAGATCTCCACGTGGTCACGGCCACTTATCGCCAGCTCACGAAGCCCACAGCTATAAATACCCAGAGAGGGAACCCTAGAAAAGGGGGCTGCTTCTTCACCACTATGGACAAGAGAGAGAGAGGAGAAAAATATACCCATCTTATAGGAAGTGAAAACACCATTGTAAGGCTCTGAACCTCTTCATGGAGAGGCAGACCAAACCAATATTATCAATAAAGGCTTTTAATGTTTCTCCCCCTAATCCTGAGTACTTATTTTCGTTTCTTTCATTTGGTCCAACGGATTATTACGATTTGCTATGATTTTCCCGTGATTCATTTGTATTGTTTTATACTCATAAGATATGTAATAACTTTTGAGCAAACAGAATTAAAATATAAAATATATTGTAAGGGGTGGTGGGATAAGTAATTAATATGAGGTATGCAAAGGGATTCCCTCCTTTTACAATCATTCATAATTTAGCTTAAACAGGTTCACATAAATTGGAACGGAAGGAATAACATTTTTGAAGCTGTCTTGTCAACAATTAATAGCTTTGGTGTAAGTAGCTCCTTCATATTGGCAATTCCCCCAATATTTGGTACCACTTTTTGACCATCACTAGCGCATTGTTGCATCAGCAAGAGTGAGTTCCATGAAAATTACCCTGTTCCAAGCAATATTTAGTGCTCGTGTAAATCTCCTAGTTAAGAAATTAAAGTAGCCAGCTGATCCACAAATGAAGTATACGTGCAAATTCAGTGATTTCAGCTCAGGTAATATTGTTCTTTTGCCGACTTTTAGTCCAACATGAACATAGATTTCAAGCATCATACAGAAAAAAGAGTAAGCAAAGCTTTGGTTGATCAAACTTTTCTACCATACTGGATGGCGACACGATCTAATATACTTCGTTCACATGCTCTCAGGACCTTCATTACAATAGCTATAGGGAATGCCCGGAGTACGATGTGTTCTGATTGAAGCGTCCTCACTTCAAGATTCCTTGTCAAATGCCTACAGCCAAAACTGAATAGCATCTCTTCAACTGGAATTATTGCCTAAAATACAACAGCCAGTCTGTCTGCCTAATTTAACAGTTACATTCTGCCCTCCAACTAGCTCCAATAAGACAAAAGAATTGACATGTACAATAAAGAAACTATGGTCTCAGTACAAATTCTAAAAAATGCTTTACCAGCATTTTGCTGTTTCTGGTCTTGTTGCCTCAAATGGTATGAGTATACGTGAATAGACATTAGACACCAAAAGGATTAATATAACAACTGTCATGCTGACTGCAGTAAAACATGTCCAGCTCTGAGGAAAGCCTGATTATTTGGACTGAATGCTATCAAAGTGCCAATTACTGTTTCACCATAAATGAACTTTTACAACTGCACCCGCCCCCTGCGCTTGGATTGGTAGATACCTGCAGAAAAAATAACGAAATGAACAAAGTGGTTAGATGAAAAGCGACAGCAACAAACATTTTTTGTGGTCTCTAGGTAAAGGGACCAGCAAAATAGCGACCAAGCCAGTTTGGACGCTTTTTGGTCGCTTTGTGACTTGTAAGCGACCAACTGTGATCGCTTTTTCCGGATTTCTAGTAGTGATGTATGATACAACTAATTACATATGCGGTCTTTGGTCTTCTTTCTTGTCCCTTTTCTATTAGTTCTTGGCCAAAAATATCTGCAAACAAATAAATGTGTTATAAATTAGAAGGTTACATATCTTTAGGGAAGAATGTGATAACGAAGATTATATGCTTGTTGTAGAAGCGAACAATTGAAATACAAAAGATGGCAAAATTTCAGGTAAGCAACACAAAAAAATACTTGTTTAATAGTCGAAGCATAGATGAAACAGAAAATAATTGAAACAGAAAAGCAGTTACGATAAACTTTGTAGCTTAAACATTTAAATTTATGCCAAGAAAGATCAATTTAAATCACTGATGATTTAAGCGTGACCATAAAAACAAAAGAAAACAGAACATCAAAACAAACCTGACATGTTGAAGAATCTAATACATTCCAAACATAGTAAATGCATTAGTAATACCTAAGAGAGCTATGCCAAACAATGTACAGAAGTTTGCCTTCTCCAATTTTATGACTCTTTTGATATATTTTTATCCAAACTAAAAAGATTATTATTTATTGAAATTATAAAAAGGATACTTACATTGAAATAGGTAAAAACATTTTCATTAAATCTCTTGTGTATAAGATTCTTTATATGAGCAGAGAATTCAAATAGAAGTACAAGTAAAAAGTTAAAGATCACAAGAAAGACAATATAGGAGTTGTTATTATAGTATTCCAAACAAGATGTTTAGCCAAGAAGATCAATTATATGGTTGGCTACTATTCAAGCAGAAAACTTGTTGAGAACCAGTTACCACAATCTCTCTTTGCATACAATATATTAATACCAACCAAACCTCTTACTAATTACTATTATATATTCCATATTATTATAGTATAGTTTTATATCTCAATATTTTAGTAACACTTTCAGTAGCTTATTATCACAGATAGTATAGCAAAATGAATATTTAGTTAAGTTGAAAAAAAGCAATTGGAATATAGATTTGCAATCAAATACGCTAACCTCGTGTCGCCGCGACATTTTCCGAGTAGGGGATCATCCAAAAAGTAGGCGCAAAAGTGAACGAAGCTGCATTCAAAAAAGAGTAACCAATACGGGATATTAGGATAATTTGTATAGTAAATTTTATCCAAGAAGACAACAATACACATGTTCCAGTAATAAAATTTGCTCGACATGCATATATGGAGATCGGGGAGGCAATTGTGGAATCCTTTTATATTAAGTTATACCTTCTTCTTAATTTTTTTTAAACCAAAAATCACCCAAAAGAAAGAAGCAAAACAATAGACATCTATCAAAGTGAAGGCGTCAAGATGGAAGAAAACAGGACACTTTTAAATGGTAGCAGCCTTCAAGAATCTTTAACAGATTCAATTTGGAAAAAGCAAAAAGGCAAAGTAATTTAAGAGAGTAAAGCATAAGAGAGTATGCGAAATATACTATTAGAACCTTTTCTGAGTATTTAACTGAATTAATTCTATAAGATCAATAGTTTCATTGAATCTAATAATGTTTGGACAACGGAAAATATAGCTCATCTATGTGCAGGCAAATTCAAACAGACAAAATTACCAGATACGATGTGAAAGGAACCTGCTATTTGTATTTGTTCAGGCTTACCTATGTATAATCGAGTAATTCAACCGTTAGTTTTCTCTTCTGTTTCGTTACTTTTGTTGGTTCATTTTTTACATGTAACTGTAGTCTATATTAATTGGAGTTTTGCAATTTTGGCCTATGGTATTACATTTGAATCACTTTTGATAGTATTTGTCAATTTGTGATTTTAATAGTTGAAATTTAATATGTAGGTTCTTTTCGTGATAAATCCAAGGAGTAGGGCTTACTAATTAATTTGCTCTCTGCTATTTGGAACAGACCTAATTGATCAATCACCTTGAGCAGAGGAGCAAGCAGTTATGCGGTAAGTTCATCTTCATCATCACCTGCGGTTTTTTTTTTTCTTCCAATCACTAAGCAAGCAAAGAACAAATAGAGGCCTCATATTAAACTTTGACTTTAGCCCTTGCATATGCTTGAAATTGAATTGCATCTGCCATAAACTTGTCAAAAAAATTTAAAACCAAAAACTATTCATTTTTCTACCAGAAACATGCATTAAATTCGTCAATCAGAAAGGGACCAATTTCTGCGTACTCATTCCTAAACACTTCTCCAATAAAAACGTTTAAGATGATGCTTTTATAAATGTTTCCTACTCTGATTATTATGCATTTGATGATTGTTGGTTAGTGTGTGGTTCCTTCATGTGAAAATAGGAAAAGTAAAGGGGGGAGGTATCTGAGAGCTTAAAAGAAGAGCCAAAAAGGCACTCGGCCTTCTTCTTCCCGAGGAGTGAATCCCAATATCGTCTCATGGTAGCCATAGAAACCACCACATAAAGGTCATTTTGCTTTCTTTCTTCTCTTAACATCTATACACAGTAGCTAAAGACAAAGAAATAACACTAATTACTTCTTCTAAAAATCCAGCAAATTGAGCCATTTACCCCCATTAAAACAGCCCTTCAATAACCCAAAATCAGCCCAAAAACGTCATCATCAACAACCAAGAACCAGAATAAATCACTGGCAAACTTGCCCCCAAAACTGCCCAAAAACAGCCCAGAAACAGCCACGAAATCCAGCTGAAAGCAGTCGAAAGCATCACCAAAATCACTCCAAAAACGGCTGAAAAACGCAGCCAAAAACCAGCTTCATTTCCAGCCCAAAAATACCATGAAAACTGTCCAAAAACATCTGAAAATCCAGTCTAAAACCAACCTGCTTCACCCTTAAACGGACCACCAACCCAGCTTCAAAACAGTCCCACAAAAAAGGCAATAAAAACGCAGCTTCCTCATGCGACAAAAAACGCAGCAGCTATAATTTTTTTAAGGCATTAAGAGCCACAAGTTTTTCTTGACAGCAGTCACTTTTAGGTCATTTACAAAAGAAATCGTATACGTTACCAGATACAACAGAATGTTTGAGCTGTGTGCGTTATTCTCTTTTCTAATTTCTCTTACATAAATATTACAGATTATATCAAGCTATGTGCAACCATTCTCGTTTTATTTCTCACATAAACTGTCACGACCCAATTTAGGATCATGACCGGCACCTAGGAGCAAGTGCCCCCAAGTAAGCCTCATCGGTATTTTACATCAGTATGTGTCAAGCTAATATTCAATCAATTTTTGTGCGCTTCTTTTGTTCATGAACATTAGAGGTGTTCTTTTAGACAATAGATTTGAGTTACTATTCTCAATTAAGAAAGTAGCAAATGAAAACTGCCAAGAATCCAATAAAAAATAGGAGATGGTTTTATCTGGCAGTGTAGTGTTATATTACTTATCCACTTTTATCTCTACTTGTGCCATCTTTAGAAAAAGCTCCGAACCTTAACTCATAGAATTTCTACTAAGCCTTCTAGTTAAAGGGGCAGTCACCACACCAGAAGGACCTCATAGCTCCATAATTGGGTCTAAAATAGCATAGAAAGGGGCAGACTTCCAAAGTAATTTGAAGTGGACCATGCATTCTATAGTACTGATCTTATTAGTAGATTTGTAATCAAGAACACTAACCTCGTATCGCCGCGACATATTCCGAGTAGAGGAACATCCAGAAAGCAGTCGCAAAAGTGAGCTTAACCGCATTCAAAAGCAACACTAAGATGTGGCTTCACTTGCATCCCAAAATAGTAGCAAAGTTTCACCGGCAAAAGTGCTAACAAATGATTGTAGTTTAAGTTGCTTGTTTTTTCTACAAAAGTTGAATCTCATATTAAATTTAGAAGAAATAGAATTCAAATACCTCTCAGCAGTTTTTCGGAGGGGAAATTTTCATTTCCGCCTTACATTTGTTGTAGGAACCGTTGCCTTTGGTTGTTATCTGTAGGTGCTCTTACTTCTCTGTGGCAATGTGTTCAATTTTTCGTTTACTTCCTTCCGCATCATCCTTGATGGTGGCTGGCATTTGTGAGACAGCTGAATTAGTTTTGTCCATGAAAGACAAAATAACTAACTTTACTGGCACTGCCTCATTGTTTCTTGTAAATAGCTTTTTTATTTGAATCTTGAAGATCTTGCCAGTCAGTAGCTTTTGCGCGTTCTCAAGAGGCAACAGTCCTTTCTGTAAAAATAAAATTGGTTATTATGTGTGAGAGGGGGCTCAACCTTTAGAAGATACTTGTTTGTGGTTTTTTGAAGTTAACAACGTACCTTGACGTTGCAGATATCATAAATCTCTTCCGAAGTGAGAAGCAAAATTTTTTCTGCATGCTCGTCGGCAATACTTGCTGTTGTAGAACCGCTCTGGTCTGTGAGCGTCACTTCAAATTGGCACCTAGTTGTAAGATAAAATGATTGCTTAATTAAAAAGATGGTGAATATATAATGTTAAATATAAACAGTTATGTGGAAGTTGTATGTATACCTGGAAACCAACTGGGTAGCTCGACGGCAATTAGTACAGTAGAACTTTCTCCGTGAGATAGCTCGTGTGAAGTGTTGTTTGCAGTCTGAACAAGCTAGGATACAATCTTTTTCCTTTTATAAGTGAACAAAAGTCACCAAAATACCAAATACCAAAATAAGAAAAACGAATACGAACGAAAATGCCATACATTAGGGGTACTTCTGGGGTAATGAATGGAACCAGAAAACAGAATTTTCCTTTGGCCATTGATAATGAGAGTTCTTATCTTAATTCCAACTTTATCCCCATATATACATGTATACCAAATAGCAGGTATGATTTTGAAAAAGAAAGACTCTTTGCTTTGAAGAAAAGATAGGATTTTTTTCATCTCCAGTTGTACATACATGCCTTTGTGTCTAAAATTTTATAAATGGGACCAAGCTCCCACTATAAGAATGCTCACCAAATTTTCTGCAATAAATAACAAGAAGAGAATATATCATTCTGACCATATGATCTAGTACTGTTGACAATGGGATCATTTTGAAGCTAAAGTTATCTGAACACTGGGATCACAGAGTCATCATTATAAGTTGTTGGAAGCCTTCATTTCTGTTTACAATGCTAAGTATGATTATGCATACTACATCATAATCATACATTTCTCTTTGCTGACAGGATTACTCTTTGAGGGAGTGTAACATGCTTTAAAATCAAGATGTCTAAGACTTGGTTTGACCTTATGCTGCAAGAAGAAAAAACTTACGAGCGACTTGTGCAGGAATGAAATATTTTGTCATAACTCTGCCCGTATTCCTCCTTGTGAGGCAAGACGCTATTCTTTAACTTTTTTTAATCTGATTATGGCAAGAAAGATTGGCTCAATAAAGAAGTATGGTATAATATATAAGTAATAGAAAAGCTTAGGTTTCAACCCGTCAGCTTAAGGTCAATAAATTTCAAGCTGAGGGCATATTGATATTTTTTGTCAAATTTTCGCCGCAGCGTGTGTTTCAACCTTCAACTAAAAAGCCGCGTATCATTTTCCCATTTTGCTTTCTCTCCGACTCCTAGCACCTTACATCTTCTCTCTCTTTTTGTTCTACATTCCAATCAAGAATTTTCTTGGCATAACCAATGAACTCCGCTATTACCAAAGCAATACGATAAAGAGCAGTACAACAATAATCTACCATAACCTTCAGCATCAAGAAACAGCTAATAAAACCCAGGTAATAATTCCTTTTTGACATTCAAATTCGAGTTTGATCTGAAGCCATTTTGCTCAATTATTGTATGCTTCGGCTTTTATGCTTAGCTTCTTTCTCTCTCCAGCCATTAGCTTTTATTTGATTTGTTGATTTCTCCATTTTCTATTTGATTTTGGGATTTGTTGTACTTATGAGTTGTGCTGAGTTTCTTGGTGATGAGATTTGAGAGATATGTGTAGGTTTTCACAATTCCGCTCTGTTTACGGCTCTGCTATACCTGTGATTTTGTACTATTTTTCTTCTCTCTTTCTTCCTTTCTTTGTTTTATCCATTTATGTTATTTGCGCCTTTCTCCAACTTTTTAGATTGCGCCTCCCCATTTATGTTGTTGTTTTGTTTTATTTCAGTTTTTTCCCTGGGTTGTGGTTGCTGTCTCTTCCTGCATATGTACATTATTTTGTAAGTACTTCACTTCTATTGGCTTCTATTCCCCCCCCCCCCCCCCACCCCCCCCACAACTTCTTAGTGGAT